AAGAAATAACATATGTTAAGCATTTTTTTCAAATGGCCATACTGTTGGTTCAGGATTTTCCCCCAGAAGCACAGATATATCTACAGTGCTTTGCTATATGAAATTTCCTTGTGGTTCTACTGGTCATTGGGGTAATACCAAGCAAGAAATTCCCTTCCTCTGAGACTCCCAAATCCAGAGAAATGTGTAGGTCACAACAGCCATCAGGCCATGAATTAGTGTAATGAGAACAATGATACATCTAGATATATGTTTTGCAGTTTTAATTATTTGAAATTAAAGAAGCAGATGTAGCTTGATCTTTGAGGGAAGAAACAGAGTAAACATTTCTAAATACTAAGAGCATCTTTTTTTTTCCTGATTGTAGAATTATAGTGAGAATAGGAGCAAAGGTTATTGTTGCAATAAGTTTATTTTGTTGGGTAAAGGAACATTTCATATGCACTGACAGAGTTCTACCATAAGGGTGAATAATTAGAGAGGTGTGGCTGAAAAGGAATTCCATGTAACTTCATAGGGGCCAAAGCTAGATGAATAAATTAGCCATCTGATCAGCCCTCTTAAGTCTGCAGAAGAAAAATGTCCAGGTTTTAACCCTGTCCAAGTTTTAAAATACCCTTTTTGGATCTTAAATGTATATAACCCACAAACACAACACAAATACCAAAAAATGCCCAAATTCTGGAGGCTGCAAATGGAGAACTGCTTTATGCAAAGCAATGGAGAACTATGACTGCAATCAAGCTGATGCCTTCAAAGGAAAAGGTATTATCTGTAATGGTCCCATTTCTTTGGAACATAGTCTCAGTTGATGGCTAACAATTTTTTTAAAGTTAAGGATCACACCTGATCTTTGAGCAGCATAGTGAGAGCTACATCTCATAAAGTAGGCAGATCCAAACATCATTCAAATATAGGTATAATCAAATGTAATTAAAATGTTTAATATTATTCCCCTTTATTTTGTCAGCTTCTCCTTCTGAAAATATGCTAAAATAATTTGCATCATCTTCAATCAATGGCTATTTTTCAAAGGGCTCCCCAAGGTTCTTGAAAGTTTTATGCTGGTGGTATCAATGGCAATTACTTTTGGTTTTAGTAGTGTTACAGTGACATTTGTTTCATTAGTCACTATTTTATTCAGCCTGTATCTACTATTGAAGAATTTTTATCTTTGGAGTGTTTTGTACCCAAGGCAGCCTAAAAATATTTTAAACAAAATATTTGCATTTCAAATAGCCAATGGGCATAGAATTTGAATACTGGCAGTCCTCCCAGCTGTTATGCTTATGATAATACTACTGTTGTCTCATTTTTTGTTATGAGGTTTACATTTAGCACATTGCACAAAGACTCATTTTTGTATGAATAGTTCCATAAAACCTCAGTTATTCCAGGTTACTCCAAGTTATTCTAAATTATGCCTTGAAAGTATTAGTTATTGGGACTTCCTTCCCATAAACATGGCTTGCTCAGATTTGCTTTCATCTCATGGACAGTTGCTGTGGCAGAAGTAAGATTTCCATACTTTGCAGATTATTTGTGAAGAATCAGAATGCAAGTTTCCATTGGTCAAGGAAAATCTGAACCCTATATGCATAGCAGAAAGACATCTAGAAAACTTCCATGTAAAAAGATCCAGCTAATATAGCAAGGAATACACAATGACCCCAAAGTTTTGCAAGCAAGAAGAAATGATGTCATGATTTCCATAGCTAATTTAGAATTACCATTTTGCTCCAGAGATGAATGCAGTTGGTGATTAATTTGTCACATTCAACTGCAAATTAAGATTTGAATTTTTAAAAGCTGTTTGTAATCAGAGCTTCCCTCAATGAAAAAGAGCTTGTCTCTGTTTAGAGCTAATCACACATAACCCACACAACTATCAGCAATTATATCTCTTGATTATGGGATACAGTGAAGAGGAAATTCCAAACAATACATTATGTATCTGCTATTTAGTGAAGAGAAATTATGTCTGATTAAACATTCCAGTAAAGCATCACTTCTATTGACACATTTTTAATATTTCTTTTAATCTATTAGTCAGCAGAGTATGAGATAAATAATTGATTGAAAGTATTTACTCAGAAGCCTGTGCTAAAGAACTGAGTTGATTGCAACTTAAACCCCTGGTAGACTCTTCCCAGGCATCCTTCAAGGTATGAAGAATAAGTCCACATATCTTTGTATGACTTATTAAAACCTATAAAATACTATTAAAAATTATAGATACAGAAAATTTGTATGATTTTACCTTATGATCATTATCTATGTTACCCTATGCAGCCTCAGTTTTATTGCTGTTTACACTGCTGAATAAACTACCAATCAGCTGAGTTATAGGAAATGACAAAACTCAGAAAGAGGGTGGGAGGGTAATAAGAAATAACTATATCATTTTCTATTCCCAAGTTTTGGTGGACCCCTACAGATATAGAGAACAAATCTGGGTTCATTGTGGAAAATGAAAATATATACTCTATTGCTTTTTGGAGAAGAAAAGCAGCAACTTAAAACAGAATCCATGCCAGGGAAGACATTTTAGTGTCATATTTATAGATGACATTAGGTCAAGATAGAGTCCCACCTATCCTGACTACTCAGTTCTTGCTAACTGACTTCATTGCAAAGCATTGGTTGAGCTGATGGGAAGGTCATTTTCATGTAAATTATCACTTGATGCTACAGTCATCAAGTGCTAAGTAACTATGCCTGAACCAGCCTATTATCCTGTGTGAATTGCTGGCTATATAGAGGAGTTGCTAGTTTGTTTATTTCTAGGTAAAGTTATGTTTCTTCCTCCCTTCTTCTTAATTTTAGAACTGCTCCAGGATCCAGCTCTGGGCCTGAAGTTCCAATGGCATCCATTGTCACAAGTGTCTTGTACAGCTTCAGTTAGTTCCAGATAGCTCTGGAGAAGCCTGTCTCAGTCATACATGCTTTGACAGTTTCATGATTGGATCTGCTGCACTGTGCTCTAATTAAATTGTCTTTAAAGGTCACCCAGAAATCACAATCTGGTTCAGAATTTGGCAATCTACTTAGCAACAGTCAGAAGGGGTAGCACTGTTCCCAACTAATTTTATTAAAAGGCATAAGCTTTCATGAGCTGCAGCTCACTTCATCATCTGAATGCCTAGACTAATCTAGGATTTAATTTGGGGTGAGGTGGTATAGAAAGGAAGGGAAGACATGCAGATACAGATTACATGTGAGACAGATTATCTTATCAAGTAACAATTGTATGTGTTAAAAACCCATTGTGTTTGTGGGTAAGGCAACCTTCTGAGATTTCAGGCAATCTTCTGAGATTGCCTGAAACTGTATAATGTATGTGAGTTCAGCAATTTTTCATTCAATGATGGAGATAATGGTGGAGATAAAGTACAATTTTTCCAAAACATTCATTTGGTCTGCTATTGAGTATCCTAGGAGGCTGAAACGCTTTGATAATACTTTCTCTTTGCTTTGAGTCCAGATGTCAAAC